CTGAGATCAGGATTTCTCTAGGAAGTCGCTGTGGCACGATGGATGACTTCGCCTGTCCAGCAATGAGATGTTCTTTTCCATTATGGAAATGTGGTCATCTCTCTTCTCGGAAGGCGCCCTGTCACAGCCCCACAAACACCATCGCAATAGAGTTTTTCATTCGTGCTGAGGGACAGGTCACGGAGATTACAGGGACGGAGGGGACTGAAGTGTCCCCCAGCTCACAAATTATGCTACCGCCTAGATCAGTGGTCCCCAACCTCTTTGAGTCTGCGGGCAGCTTGAGAATTCGGGCATAGTGTGGAGGGTGCAGCCATAAAATGGCTGCCGCAGGAGGCGGGGCCATCCACAAAATGGCTGCCGCAGGAGGCGAGGCCATCCACAAAACGGCTGCCACAAGAGGTAGGGCCATCCACAAAATGGCTGCCGTAGTTTACCTTGGGTCACCCGGAGAAGAGCCTTGTGCTATGTGAGCCGCTGCTGCCAAACCAACATTTTAAAAAATCCACACAGCCAATCAAAGCTCCAATAGTCAATCAGATGACCTGCTGGGCAGGGGCCCCACCTGGCCCCGCCCACTTTCTAAAAATATTTGACGGACCCCAGGAAAGGTGTTAGTGGGTGCCATCGGTGCCCCAACATGGCGTCTTTTGTGTTCTTAATGTCTCAAAAAGTTGACCGGCGCACCGTAACCATTACCCATCTCGTTTTCTTTTTGCATTCACAGGGGGCAAAATAATGGACCTGCTGTTCTTCTTAGCGGCCGTATTTCTGGTGGCAGACGCTCAGGCCTGTCCAGAAGTCTGCGTCTGCGTGGCGAGGAAGAACTACACCCGTCACATAGCGGACTGCTCTTACAAAGATCTCCACGCCGTCCCCGCTGGCCTTCCCTCCAACACCACCACCCTGACGTTGTCCGTCAATCACATCGCCTCCCTCCAGGAAGACTCCTTCGTAGACGTCGGCAACCTGCAGGGCCTGTGGCTGACCTACAACGAGATCAGCGCCATCGGGAAAGGCACCTTTGGCTTCCTGGCACAGCTGAGGAATCTGGACCTCAGCCACAACCAGATTACGGATTTCCCGTGGCAGGACCTGCGAAACCTGACCGTCCTGGAGCTGCTGAAGCTGAGCAACAATCATCTGGAGAAGGTTCCCCCGGAGGCCTTCTCCACCCTGAAGGCCCTGCGGTCCCTCTGGCTGAACGACAACAGGCTCGCCGTCCTCTCCGAGGGGACTTTCGACTCCATGCCGTCGCTGTCCCTGCTGCAGATCAACAACAACCCTTTCAATTGCTCCTGCAAGGTCTGGTGGTTGAAACGGTGGCTCGAGAGCTCTCCCGTTTCCAGCCCGGAGAAGGAATCCATCACGTGCGCCACCCCTAAGGAGTTGAAAGGTCACGTCCTCGGCAGGACCCTGGCCCTAGACTGCATGCTTCCCTCCGTCCGGTTGACCTACCGTTCCAGCCTGGACAACTCTGTCCTGCACGACGGACTCAGCCTTCTGTTGGACTGCACTGCCGTGGGAAAGCCACAGCCGGAGATCGGTTGGAAGATCAAGACGTCCGGCCAAACCGTAGCGATCAACGGGCCGAATGCGGAAGAAGGGGAAGGAGACAACTGGCTGGCGGACGCAAGGTCCGAGGAGAGCCCGGGGCGCTTTCTGGTCTTCAGGAACGGCTCCATGGCCGTCTCGAAGTTCAGCAAGGCGGACGAGGGGATCTACACTTGCCGGGCCGTGAATGATGTCGGGTGGCGGGAGGTCTCGGTCAGCGTGGCTTTGGGCAGCTCGGAGAACCCGGCGGATGACCTCCTCCAGAACGACATCCAAGCCAGCAAGCCCCGGTCCAAGTCCTGCGACAAGGAAGAACTTCCCCAGCCAGAAGAAAAGGTGGTGGTCATCTACCTGACGCCGACGGTGTCCAAGAAGACCGCCAGCGGAAGCATCCTGTGGGAGCCCTGGCCGTGGGGCAGCTGGTTTATGCTCTTCTCACTTGCTTTGTGTACCTAAACCTTTTGGACTCCTCTTATTGAGCGTAGAAACGTAGTTCTGGACTATGGAGGTAGAAAACGGAGACGTGCCTTTCAAATTGCACTGATCGGATCAGGGGTTCTCATCCAGTGATACTAGTCAGTGCCTTTCAAATTGCACTGATTGGATCAGGGGTTCTCATTCTGTGTTCGGAATGCATTCTTGTTAGGGCTTTTTCCCTGGGGGAACGTGCCGGAACAGAGTTCCAGAACCCCTTTGACAAAATCCTTAAAAAAAACATTTTAAAGTTTATGAATGTTCAGTATACAGACGGAAAACTTCATTTCCCTCTCAAGAGTTCCGGCGCCTCTTTCCCCAGAAAAAAAATCTCCTCTGTTTCTCGTTCTGGTTGCAAAGCAAACAAAGGAACCTACACCAGTTTGGTATCGGGGTTAGGAGGGCGGACTCTAATCTGGGAGAACCAGGTTTGATTCCCCACTCCTCCACATGCAGCTGCTGGTGTGACCTTGGGTCAGTCACAAGTTCTCTCAGAGCTGTCCTCTCAAGGGCAGTCCTCGAGAGAGCTCTCTCAGCCCCACCTACCTCCCAGGGTGTCTGTTGTGGGGAGGGGAAGGGAAAGGAGATTGTAAGACACTCTGAGACTCCTTCAGGTAGTGAAAGGCGGGGTATAAATCCAATCTCTTCTTCTCTCTTCTCTGTCTTCTTAAAAAAAATAGGTGGGGCAAATCATTGTTGCTATGACAGCACAATTGCTGGCCTCATCCTGGCTACAGCCCTGCGATACAGGAGAGAAGGCATTCTTGGTGGGGGTGTCGAGACGATGGAAATCCTTCTCCAAGGAGGCCCACCATCTTCCTTCTATACCTGGGGTCCACGACCTTTTTGAGCCTGTGGGCACATTTGGAATTCTGACAGGGCGTGGTGGGCGCAGCCGCAAAATGGCTGCCGAAGGAGGCCGAGCCAGCCACAAAATGGCTGCCGAAGGAGGGGGAGCCAGCCCCAAAATGATTTCCACAGCTTAACTTGGGTAATAACATTGAAGATACTTGGGCTGTGGTGGCAGTGGCTGCCAAAGCAACATTAAAAAAAAAAATCTACACAGCCAATCAAATCTCCGATAGTTGCCCTGACCTGGATAGCCCAGGCCAGCCCGATCTAATCAGATCTTGGAAGCTAAGCAGGGTCGGCCCTGGTTAGTACTTGGATGGGAGACCAGCAAGGAAGTCCAGGGTTGCTACGCAGAGGCAGGCCTTGGCAGAACACCTCTCCTTGTCTGCCCTGACCTGGATGGTGCAGGCTAGACTGATCTCATCAGATCTCGGAAGCTAAGCAGGGTCGGCCCCGGTTAGTCCTTGGATGGGAGACCTCCTTGGAATACCAGAGGCGGGAGGTGGGGGCAGGCTTTATTCAGCCACCTCTCTGAATATCCTCCAGGCCCCCCAGTAGCGGTCAGTCACCAGAGGGCGCCATGACTTCCAGGTGCGCATGCACTGAGAAATAGCAAAAAATACCCCTCCAAAATCTCCAATAGTCAATCAGAAGGCTTCCTGAGCAAGAGCCCTACCTGGCTTCACCCACTCCCTAAAAACACTTGGTGGGCAGCAGAAAAGGTGTTGCGGCAGCCATGGCGCCCTGGGGCACCGGACCCCATTCTATACTGTTCTTCAGAGATGTCGTTAAAGGCAATTTTATTTTCAGAAGGGATTTGGATCCTGTGGTTTCCCTTCGTCTCCAGTTGCTCGACGGCCAGCTGTTTATGACCTCTCACTTTCTCAACGGCATTGTTCCTTTAGTTGCAGATTTTTTTTTTAATCATCCTCTTTTTATGACATTTTATTACTTAGCCGCTTCGTGAAAGAATAGCAGTACAGGTCTGGAAAGCACAGAGATAATAATAATAATAGAAAACATAGCTCTGGTATGAGGGATGGTAAACAAGAAACAAAACCCTTGTAGAATTCCTGGCATTACGGTTGATGGGTTGGTGACTGTTTGTTTTTACTATGCAAGGGTACACGTTTTTTGGTAATAAAAATGATGTAAGGAGTCGTGATCGTCTGAGGCACTGGTGACAGGAAGATATGAGCAGGGGCTATTTCCTGCGGGAGCACACAGGAGCGGAGCTCCGGCAGTAAAGAGCCCAGGGGGTGGGCACATGCAACAAGCCCCACCCCTTGCTTCCAGCGGCCCTGAGTCTGAGCAAGAAGCAGCCAGGTAAGCTGCAGAGCCCCCCGGTCCAAAACAGTCCAGTGGCACCTTTAAGACCAAGTTTTATTCAGGTACAAGCTCCCCCGCCTCTGCGAGGACAGATCTGCATGTGTCCCCCCCCAATAGCTAGCTGTCCAAAACAGTCCAGTGGAACCTGAGCGGTGGGTGTTGCCTTCTGACACACTTCCGGTGATGTCAGGGGGTGTGGCATATGCAAATAAGTTATGCTAATGAGTTGTGCTAATGAGCTCCTGCACCTCTTTTTCTACGAAATGACCCCTGGATATGAGTATTGTTTTGTTGTGACCCTGCTCTGTCTAGGGCTCCCATCTCCAGGTTGGGTAATTCCTGGATATTTGGTGGAAGAGCCTTGGGAGGGCGGGATATAATGCCCACAGGCCAGATCTGGCCCCTGCAGGGCTCCTATCTGGCCCACGAGCAACTGGCCCTCCACTGCTTTCTGTTCCTGCTTCCTGTTTCCTGCACCACAGCTCCTTTTGCCCAGGCTTTGCAGGGGAGAGAAAGCCAAGCCTCCCTTCCCTCAATTGGCTGAGGGCTCCTCCCCTCCTCCTCTGGGGAGGGAGGGGAAGGGAAAGA